CATCCTTCTAGATGCATTCTCCTTCTCCAAAAGTAAAGATGGTGGGGTTTCACTGTATTGTAAACACTCCCAATTACTTTCACACACGCGCACACACATAATCCAGATGTATCTACTTTATACATATCAAATCCTTGTCCTTAAGGTGCTTTAAAAAGCCTCTACTCCATCGAGAGACTAAGCAGCAAAAAAGCGTCACCAGTCCCAGCAAACCGGGTAAGTCACCGTATTCTTCATGAATGTTTTCCTGCAGTGTGCGGCTTACTCCGTAAAAGTTTCTAAAACAAGCCATCATGAAAGGCGGATGGGTCTAGACTCGTACTGAAGCAGAAAGAATTTTGTTTCCAACACAATGTCCTCAACACAACTGGAAGCGTGTAGGTTGATGCTAATCTTGACCGGAATGAAGGTAATTTAGCTGCCTTTGGCCTTTTGCTCGCATGGTGATCTTCTCCACAGTCTTTACCACTCTCTGCACGCGCTTGCAATCCATAGCAGTAGTGCTGCCATACCAGACAGTGATGCAGCTGGTCAAGCTGCTCTCAATGATGCAGCTGTAGAAGTTGCAAAGGATCCTAGGCGACATGCCAAACCTCCTCAGCCTCCTCAGGAAGTATAGCCATCGTTGGGCCTTCTTGACCAGCTGTGTGGTGTTAAGTGTCCAAGTGAGGTCCTCACTGATGTGGACGCCCAGGTATTTGAAGCTGCTCACCCTCTCCATTTCGAGCCCCCGAATGAACAGTGGCCGATGAGATCTCCTCTCCTTCCTCATGTCCACTATCATCTCCTTCATCTTGTCCGTGTTGAGGCTGAGATTATTGTCCTTGCACCATGACACCAGACCGGCTACCTCCCTCCTGTAGACTGCTTTGGAACCTACAGCTCCGGAACCAAGCCATTGGATGTTACTGAGATACATCACTGTGATTGGCTGAGCTTTTTCAGATTGCTGAGACTAGTGATGTGATTGGCTAGGAGTAGGAAATAATTATCACCTTTACTACACCCACACATTTTGACAGACCATCACCCACAACTAACAGTTAGCATTAGCCTCTTCTATAGAAAATGAATGTGCCTGTTGACACTGAGCTAACTGTTCCCTCTATGGTCTCAGCTCTTCTCCATTGTGGTCCTGGGCTGCATCGCTAACAAGGGTTACATTAACCGATCCAATGAGGTGGAGGAGTACTGCATCTTCAACTGCAATCAGAATGCCTACAACTATGGCGTCACCATGGGAGTCCTGTGTTTCTTCTCCAGCGCTGCTTTCCTGGTGCTGGACGCTTACTTTCTGCAGATCAGTGGCATGAAGGACAGGAAGAAGGCCATCATTGCTGACATTGGAGTGTCAGGTGAGACTCTGCCTCTCCTGGATCTGTCCTGGTTCTGTGTTAATGGTTAATAACCAGGTGTGTTCTCTGCAGCTCTGTGGTCTCTGGTCTGGTTTGTGGGCTTCTGCTTTCTGGCCAATCAGTGGAAGATTTCTAAAGAAGACGACAATCCCCTGAATAGAGGAGCCAATGCTGCCTGAGCTGCCATTGTCTTTTCTGTCTTCACCTGGGTAGGTACCTGAGCTACACACCCTGACACCCTTTGCTAACACCTGGCAGAAACAACTCACCTGAGCAGTGTCAGAGGACTTGTCCACTGCAGGAACTGACCAGTTGGCAACCACAGGTGTTTTACAGGAAGACACAGGAGACACCAGGACAAATATTTTAATGTGGTGTTTGGCTTGGGACTGTGCACAGTGCACCTACTAAAGACATTCCCAAGCTCCTGAGAAGGTTCCTGCAGTGGAAAACAGTCAGTAGGAGATTATGGAGCTCTCTGTGGGTCAGGTTGTGACTGAGGAGATTTCAGGAGAAGTTCACTGGCTCCAAGGTTTACTCAAGAAGGTTTAAAGAGGTTCGCTGGAGTTCCATAACAGTGACAGTATCAACAACCAACACGTTCTCCATCCTGAAAAGCTGGCTCTCAAATTTTAGTAACATTCATACAACATACATGTAACATCTTTGATATGTTGTAAGTATGGAGGTCTCACTCCGCTGCCACTGGAGCGTCTGAAGAGTTTCATTTGAAGAAGAATACAACAAGCTGTTCACACCTCCACTCGCCTGAAATGCACACGCACACACACACAAACACACATTTAACTATACCTGTCTCCTTCAGCCAATCAGAGACCAGCGTTCCTGTGTGTCCTCATCAGCTCAGTCTGGTCTCTGATCAATCCAAGTGCCTGTCATCCTAAGTGCCTTCCTGTTGCCATGGTAATACAGTGATGCTGTTTTCCTGCTCACATGTTGCCGCAGTGATGTGATGATGAAGATTAAAGATGTCAACAGTTAAACTTTGTGGTGTAGGAAGAGTTAATGAACAGTGCTGCCCCCCACTGACTCTCTGTCACTGCAGTATCATGATGTCATCATACCAGATAAAATCACCTTTATTGATCCGTAGAAGGCGAAACTAATATTACGTACATAATGATAAATATAACAAATGAGTGAGTCCTTTTTTAAGTTTTATGTATCTGTTTTTGTTTTTGACAGACATCAGTAGTGATATATCAATTTGTGTAGGATGAAGTACGGTAATGTTAATAAACGCTGTCAAATAAAAACACTAACATGTAATGACAATAATAATTTAACTGAAATAAGAATACAAAACACAATAAGACAGAGACCGTAAATACAAAGTATGTGT